GTAAATTTTATAGATATATCCACTGTAGAAAAACATTAGATAAATTTCTTTTTGTCATTCAAGCTGTCAGCACCTTAAATAAACAGATACTGACTTGTTAAAAAATGCATTTCTGTGACATTTTAAAAGTAATCTTTGATGAATTATTTGTTGAATTTTGTAAATATCAATAATGACTGCAGTAAGAAAAATATTAACTTTAACTACCCAAATGATTGCTGCATTCCAAACACTATATTACCCATAATATTTTTTTTTAAATTTTCTCTTATTCTGGGCCTCGTTTTGGACATGAAAAGTCATGATATATCATTTGTTTCTGTAAGTAAAAACTGAAACTTAATTGAATTTCCATAAATAAAAATTCATGGATATATAGTGGCCCTAATATGTATTGGGCTCACTGTAAGAGATATTTCAGTAAGCCAAATATAGTTTCACAAAAGAACATCAAAAGAGTTAGGTGCCTTAGGAGGTTAACCTAGAAGGTAACCTCAAAGCTACCAGGTGCATAATCTGTCCTCAAATGATGTCAAGAGATTCATCAATATAAATAACGAAGTGAACCCAGCTAAACTTAAGATATACACATTACAAGACAGCTGGATAACAGGAGGTTATATAAGTACCCAATCTATGAGAGGTGAAGGCAGAATACCTCTCATCCTTGCAAGAAGATTGAACATTCAAAGATAAATTCAAAATACATGCCCTTGATTAACTGATGTTAATTTGATGAAGTTCAGAACTGAATAAACAGTCATTGACAATATTCAACCAATGTACCTGCAAAAAAAAAACTTACCTGGTTGTTTTAAGTTATTTTTTTTGAATATTGATACAATCCAGACATGAAACTGGAATTATAGATATTTTTTTGATTTTTTTAAATTGGTAACAAAAATATTGAACACTTTTTATTAGATTGATTATTTACAAGAATAATTTTATATTTACAATATTATGAGTTGGAATGAAAGCTAGATCGGAATCAGGCAGAATGATAAGATAAAGAACAAACAGGAAATGTTTATCATGTGTGCACGTATATATGTGTATGTTCTGCGAATAATATGAATTTATGTAAGCAATATGTATGTTTAATTAAAAATCAATCATTTAATAAATGTTATATCTTGTTGCACTGATGCCAAAAACTGTTTATATTGTATATCATGTTTTCATGTAATATTGTGCCTGAATATCAATTTAACATGTGGATGCATTATATAATCAATTTATTTATAATTAATCGATCAAGCACTGTAGTGAGTAAAGTGCAAATTTGTAAACGATCACTATTACTGCTGATAATGCAAGACTCTACAAGCTGATTGAGTTCTCTAAGTAACTGGTGTGTTTATGAAAAATAAATATGTAAAAAAAAAAAAAAAAATCGGAAAACAAAGAACAAAGCCTCCCATATTTGCGCTCACACAACACTTCTTTAATGTTGTTGTTGTCACTGCTTATGAAAATAAGTTTATTTTCATATATTTGGGTTTTATTAATAGCTATTTAAAACCATGCAAATTTAAAATTGCATTATTGATGTTATCATTTTATTTTGTGTTATTTCAAATTTTCTCCTTTTGAAATTCAAAGGACAGCTCAGAATATGAGACTCATAAACTTTTAAGAAAAATTGAAGGGCAGGATGTCAATATTGAGTACATAGAAATTGTATAAATTTATAAACAATATGCCAAAATGATCTTAATTCACTCTATCCAAATTTGTTAGGAGATAGTGTAGATAACAAAAATACAGTGCAAAAGTAGTTTATGTAGAAAAAAGGGGTCATAAACCTGCAGAAATTAGCAGCGTTTTTTTCTCTTTCTCTTTTTGTTTGAGGGGTCAACAGCTGGTGTGTCTAGGGCAGCAAGACAGCCTGACGGAGCCCTTCAGGCTGGTTTTGAATTCAGTTTACCTTCTAGACTGCCACTTTAAGGAATTAATGCCCCTTCAGTCCTGTTGTTTAATCCATTGCAAGGGAAGGAGATTAATCCATATCTTTCTCAAAGGGTATTTTTGTGAAAGTGAATGCAACAAACTTAGCAGGAATTTAAACTTGGCTCACTAATTTTTCTTTCCAAGTGGTTAACCATGAAGCCACACATCCATAATTCATGAATGGAGGTTATAAAAGCAGACATTCAGAAGCATATGAGGAAATAGGATTTCCAAAAGTTGTAATATATGGCTTTAGTAATATATAGTAAATTTATTAAATTTTCCTGAAAATATTTAAACTTGACTCTTGGAAACCATATTTTTCTTCAAATTAACATTTTTTTGCTACATTCTTTTTTAGTAGAATAAATATTTGATTATTTAAGTTTTTAAGAGTTTTTTTTTTAGTTTTTTTTTTTTTTTTTTTTTTGTTCACAGAAAGTGACATTGTTTATTTAGGTGTTTTATTCTCACTGTTTGACTAACATCTCATCAGTCATGTATTGAAAGATACATGATCTCCTAAGTGTGTATCACGCATGGCACATAACTGACTGAATTGTTTAAAAAGTATATTAAGCATTGCCTCTTATCTTCTTTCAAATAAACCGTTTCTGTTTTATGATAGTGGTTTTAAAAGCAATGATTTTTTTTTTTTTTTTTTTTTTTTTTTTCTCTCTCAAAAGGCAAAATTTATTATGGGATATCTGAGCCTGTAGGATTGGCCAAAAAATTCCTTGTTGACCCCTTATGAAACAGGATCAGGTAGCTGTTTCCCAAGACGAGGCTCTGCCCTTCGACATAGCCTCGTCTAGGGATCCTCTCTCCCTGGATGCAGAGAGTTTGACCAGCACACCTGGAGACGAATCTCCAACTGCAAACCAACATACAGCATTTACTACTCTATTTATGGAAATGGTGGCATATCCATTATCGTACATAGGTATGCTACAACACTTAGTCTCATCCATACTTGACCAACTATGAAATATGTTTGACACAATCAATTTGGCTCTAAATGACCCACAAGATGTTGAAGGGACCGTTAAACACAATCAGTCAAAAAAAATATGCCAAACTAATGTTTATAAAAGGAAAAGTGTTATTTCTGAGATGAGGTATTATATACATATTTACATTATTCAAACTATTGTCCTCATCTTTGTCGCCATATTTATTACAACATTTCGGCCATTATACGCTCCGGCCTTCTTCAGGTGGTTGGAATGTCGAACATGTGGCACAGTGGATAAAGGCATTAGTTAGATCCAGTGACAGGACCCAAAGAGTGAGTTTCAATACCTGGCTAAGGCAGTGGAGAACTTTCAGAGGGAAATTAACAGGAGATAACTGATATCCATTAAACATGGCACGTGGGACTAGAACAGTCTACACCAATGAGCGAAATAAAGGATTCAGTTCGGCATTCCAACCACCTGAAGAAGGCCAGAGCGTACAACGGCCAAAACGTTGTAATAAATATGGTGACAATGATGAGGACAATAGTTCGAATAATGTAAATAATGAAGTGTTATGTCTACTCTTTTTTTTTTTTTTTTTTTTTTTCTGCTGATAAATTCCTGATTATATTTTTGTTTTTAATTTTATTTATTTACCCTTTTTAAAATCATTTACTTGTCTTTTTACTATACTCTTGGTAAATAACAGTTGGAAGGTAAAAATTTGGAAACTGACTTTAGATCTTCTATACTTTTGGCCAAGTTCTATAATAAAGCCATGGCTGAAAAAAAATTAATGATGCTGATGAAGTTTCTATTTTAAAATCCAGATTTGTACAGATTTTGTGAAGTGGGTTAGATTAAGAACTTTTCAGCACCTCATCTCCCCACTTTTTATAAGCACATCAAGATTTTGTATCTTGTGATCACAGAATCATTGGAATTATTTTATCTAGCTTAGATGTTACAGAACTCTGCCTTTAATTAAAACAACTTACCAAAGAAAAATACAATGCAATCCTGATACTTTGCTTGTTTGTTTGTGTAAATTGCACAAGCATGTTAAGTGGTTTACTGCCTTCCCCTACCTTTCAATATGCCCCCTTGAGGGTTAAATTTTCCAAGCCCTCCTTCCCCATGTGTCCAAGGAATCTTTTCTTAGAAGTGTTCTTTCTGCTGCTATTTTCTTTAAGACTTCCTTGTTACTTACTCACTCCTTCCATGGAATTCTCAATATCCTTCTGTAGAACCCCATTTCTACTGCCTCCAATTTTCTCTTCCATGAAAAGTTTGTCCAGCATTCACTGCCATATAAGACAATGGATAACATGTTAATCCAGCACTTTTCTTTGTTTCTAACAATATTTTTTTTTGTTTCTCAGAACCTTTCTTAGCTTTTGGAATGCTTCTTTTGCTCGTCCAATGCAGTGTCAGATCTCAGGGTTGAATCTTCTGTTAAAATGCTTCCCAGATATTTAAATTTCTGCAACTGCTTGATGTTGACATCTCTAATTTGCAAATCTCATTTTGGGAATTATGTTCTTGTTGATAATCAAACTTTCTGCCCTTTTGCAGTTGATGTTTAGTCCTTTTTTATTTTTTTTTTTCTCATTTTTTTTTTTCTCTTCTCTTTTTTTTTTCTTTTTTTTTATGCTACCTTGTCTCAGTCCTCAGTTTTTTTTTCTAAGTCGACCATAAATACAGTGTCATCTGCATATCTTATATTGTTAAGATTATGTCCACTGATAATAAATCCTGGTAGGGTTTCAGGTTCCCTTAGGATAGCATTACTGTAGAAGTTGAATAAATCTATGGAGAAGACACATACTTTTCTCACCTTTCTAGCTACTCAATTTTCTGTCTGCATGCAGGCGAATTTGTGGGGATACATATTTATAAAGAGATGCGGCACATAGAAGGAAAATATCTATTATTAGCTACATGTATCGGCCTTTTATTATTTTTGGCTAAGACTAAGGCACTATATGTGTAAACTGGTTAATGATGATAATAGTATGTTAATTTTGATTAATCTCTTTATTAATTTATTACAGTAAATATTCTATATGAATTAAATTTTACCCCAAAATGGATTCATTTACCAAGGGAAGTAACCACGTACCTTTCTCTGTCAATGGTTTTTACAGCTATTCACGGTAAGAAAATTATCATTTGAGATTTCTTAAAGAAAAACAAATGTTTATATCATTAAAATCATGATTGTTTATTTTTTAAATTCAATCATTATTATTTATGTAATTAATACATTAAGTTGGAGAATTAGCAACCGAATCTGGTTTTAATTTATTTTTACAAAGATTCTTTCCTATTTATTCAGATTTAATAGTTTTGTATATATAATAAAAATAACTAATATATAATACTTATATATACATTTTTTATTTATATATATATATATATATATATATATATATATATATATATATAAGAAAATGCAAATCTTTTCATAGTAAACAAACAGACCACTAGAAATAATATCCCCAAAATTTTGGAAATGTCTAATTTTATTAAATTTGTTTTTTTTTTTTAATATTTGAAATTTTACTTTCTCTAAAAAAAAACATCAAAAAACAAAAGAATGTCATCTTGAAATTGGAAAATATTATCCATTAAATTAAGTATTGAATTGAGGTAAGTTTGATAAGAAAAATTCCGTTAAAACTTGTAAGTATTCATGAATGTAAATATCATCCCTTTTTTTTTTTTAACTAATTTTTGTTTAATTTATTTTGATATAATTTTGTAAAATGTTTTCTGGTTGAGTACTTTTCTTTTTAATAGAAATTCTTGAAATAAATGTTCACTTCCTTTTGTATTCGATAAATTTTAAACAATTTACAGATCAAGGGAGGCAACTCTATTCATTACGTTATTCCATTATACTAATGGAATAACGTAAATAGCATACAAAACTAATGATTACAGTTTTGTATGCTAAATATTTGTTTATATCAGATTAACTATAGCAAAACAAAATAAGAGGAAGATTGTGTTGCGCCAATCTTTAAGAATATGTGAGATCTATCACTTATTTATTCTGTAGCTTTTATCTAGGATCAAATTTCTGATTACTGGTCCCAGTTGGAAAGAGAGATTCAACAAACTCATAGTTTGTATTCAAACAATATGAGAATGATTTTTAATTTTTTTCTGTGGTATAACTTTTTTGTTTTGTTTTTGTTGGGTGGGGTCATAAAAATATAACTGCAGCAGATTGTCTTTTTAAACCCTGCTCGTCTTAAAAAAAAATTTTTTAAATGATTATAACCTCTTTAAGTCTGCGTAATTTTGAAAATTTCTTTCTTTTCCAGGAAAAGAAAACGGGTTGGACACAAACTTGAAATAAAGAGTCAAAAATATGCTCAGGAATTTCTACCCAAGAAATTTTCTCAGAGGTGAGATTTTTAGAAATAGTCTGAAATTCTGGAATGTGGAGTACTAATGTTCTCATCAGAAGAAATCCTGGATTATATGCAATTAAATTATGATTACAAACCAAAATAACTATAAAAATGAAATATAAATATGGATGAATTGCCAATTGATTATTAAAGCCAAAGTCCTTTGTAAAAAAAAATTCTATAAGATTATTACAATACCTTGATGCTGTAGCAAATAGGTTGCCACTGAGGCTTCTTGGGATGGCATCACTGTAAATATTCAGCTAAAAGTGAGATTTGAACAAAGAAAAATTACTCTTAAATAAATGGTGTGGGGAGTATCAATTGGCTTACAAGGTAAGGGGTGTTTTCAATTTCCCAAGATTTAATAAACAGTGAGTTGGCAGCTCATATAAAAGGGGTGTGCTTAGTTTCTGAAGGCAGATCATCATGCCTTGTTTGCCATCACAGGGAAATTTAATGAATGAACATATATATATCAGATGATATTTTATATATTTTATATCAGATATTTATGATATAAAATATCTGATATTTTATATTTTATTTTGTATATTATATTTTATTTCACATTTTATGATATTTTATATTTTATTTCACATTTTATATGATATTTTATTTCATATTTTATATGATACTAGCAGTAGAGCCCGGCGTTGCCCGGGGATGTAACAGTAAGAGATAGATCAAGTATCGACCATCATAAAGACTGAAAAATAAAATTGACAAAGATTATTGTTTAAGGTTGATGGACACACATGTCTTAATTAGTTGTTTTTTTTACGAATTGGTCAAACCCAAACAAAAACATTGTTTTCAATTGTTATGAGTCTACCGATTGAATAGAATTTTATTATAAACAATTGTCTTGTAAATGGAATTTTTAAAGCATTCTGAATGTAAAAATAAAGAAAAAAGTGTGCAAGATAATAAGAAACACTACCTGCCAAAAAAAAGTGAAGTTTTGTTAAAATCGGTTGAAAAATGTAGGAAATTCGATCCCATATATAAACACACACACACACAAACAACCTGGGTTTTATAATAAGTATAACTCGATATGAGTTGTCCCCCTTTCATTCCACGAAAGTGATGCTTCTTAATCGTGTTTTCAAATTGATTTCGTACAAAAACAATTGTTTTTCCAATTTTTGTCACTCTCAGAACCACTGCAAGGTAATTTTACCTAGTCCTGTGAAGTTTTGTTGAAATCTGTTGAAAAATCTAGGAAATCCAATCCAATATATAAACGTACAGACACGCACACACACCCACAACCTATGTTTTATAATAAGTATGATTTTATTTTATATTTTATATATTTTATGAGATTTTGTTTTATTTTGAGATGATGTTTTTAGAAAGTGAATGTTGTTTATGTCAAACGTGAAAAGAACAGCAAATATTCAGTATTATATAAAAACTTTGCACACAATTGTTTGCTTTCTTCAAAATGAATCAAATAATGTAAAAATAAATAAAACAATTTGTATTTACAGTATGCAAATGAAAGTAATGTGCAGAATAGAGAGGTGATTTTTTTTTAATTTGTTTATTACGTTTATAATTAAGTCTTCTACTGTATAAACATTTAGTAATAAATTAGAAACGTTACAAATGGTGCAAAATTGAGATTAAAGCATCTTGAAGCTGGTTGGAACAAACCCATTACTTGTGTAGAATTCCTGGAATATTAGTCAAGTACTTCTCTGTTAGCAACTAGCTTGTTTTAATAGAACACAGTCTTTAAGTGATGATTGGCTATCATTGTATTAATGTATCAGTATAAATCATAGTCAGTTGATGAGGTACTGCTTCTTCAGCGCTGTAGTTAGTCTTATAAACTGATAGTTATGACATGATTTGCATATGTATGGCTTTTTCATCATTTTTGCCACAAAAGTCAATAATCGTACTACAAATCTTTATACTTTTCAGGCATGATCTACAGAAATTAAATGAACCTTCATTGTGAACTTTTGCCGGAGGCTACTTCCTTGGTTATCTGTCAGAAATAGCTCTAGTATCTTTCAAGTTATTACAAATAAAAAATTTTTAATAAATGTAACTGGCTTGTCAAAAAGAAAAAAAAAAGATAAAAGGAGTTTTATTAACTTGCTTTCTACTTTGTCCATGTATTTCTTATAAAAAGTAACGAGTGCAGGAAACCTACAGATGGCCGCTTGGTAGCAGGACACTGTGTCACCTCATTTGAGATAAAGAAAATTCTCAACATGTGGGATCTGGTTGAAATAATAGACAGGGAGCTTCACTGGAAAATACAAAAACTTAATGAATCAACACATGTGTTAGACTACAAAAATCTCCTAAGTCGGCCAAGCATAGAAATGAATACAACATGGAAACCAGTTATACACATATGTGGCACCCTGCATTATTAGAAAAAAAAACTAAAGAAAAGAAATATTCATAGAAATATGATTTAATTTTTTTATTCGGTTTATTAACCAGTTGTTGGTTTTTTAGACGAAGAATAATTGAGTTTTGAGAATAATTCTCTAATTGTACTTAGGCGATCCTAAGGGAAGAAAAAAAAGAAGGAAAAAAGAAAAAGAAAATGAGTAATGCAAAAGGCCGGTCATTAGCGAAAACAGGTGTCAAGAGGCCATGGCCCGACCAATTTCAAGTGACAATGGAGATTGTTATTTGGGAGAATAGAATTAAAGGTAATTAAAGAAAGAAAGAAAACAGGCTTGGTAAAAGTGTATGAACATATATACGATTGATAAAATGTCGGTCAAAGCATCTGGCCTACTTTTGTGTAGAAGACTCATTATCAATTTGGAGAAATGGGATTTTTAGAACAATGGAAAGCGAAATATTAATCGGAGAAAGGTGTCTTTTGGGATGAGAAGGTGACCGCTGGAATTATATCTGACCTGTTAAAAATTGGAACCCCCACGATGATGAAGTGAAGACATTTTCAATTCAGATAATTAAGATTTTTGACTATCAGGTCTGAGCAAAAACAAAGAGGTGAAAAAACGATTGTTCTTGGCTCACAGAGAGCGCCAGTAAGACGGGAAAATTCTTCCTGAAGTCACATCTAATTAGCGGCGGGCTGTTTTGACAGAGACCAGGAAGGTGAGAAAGGCCGAGATTGTCATTTTTAAATGCGTGCGAAAAAGGCCAAATTAGATTTTTGTTTTTTTTTTTTAGCAAGGTGTTCTTTCCCAGGACAACGACTGGATAAGCCACACCCGATTGGAGACGTCAAGTACGGGAGATGCCCAACCAGAATCTCATTGGCCAAAAAGCGTCCGGATATAGAAGAAGGAGAAAGGACGCGATCAAGACCCATTGGTTTAAAAAACAGTCACCTGACATTAGACGAGAGACCGGGAGAGATGGTATCGCCTCCCCACCAGAGGCACTGTGAGGAAGTTTGTTTTGAAAATAAGAGCGATAATGGGAAATCAAAAGTAATGCGACTTTTGGAATTATCGAAAACCTTGACTCCGACAGACCCACCCCCAGTTTGTTGTGGCGTCAATAAGCGGGACCCCAGTCGACAGATCAGTTCAGCCCGGACAGCAGCGAGAAGGGTCCACCTCAGACGGCAGAGAGAAGAGTTGCAGGGATTTGAAGAAGAAGTTACTTGCAGTTATGCATAGAAGAAGTTGAAATCAAACCAAGCCCAAGAACAGAAATTGCCTCAAACCAAATCGAAGTGAAGAAATACGTCCAACTCGAGCGAAGAGAAGAATCAGCCGTGGAACGACTGGTAGAGATTAGCGCCCAGTGTCAAAACTAAACCACCTCCGACACAAAATTCTAGAGAGTAGGCAACTCAAGTCTTTAAGTTGTATGATAGAAGCTTGGTGCCACAGTCCACAAAGCGGGTCGGGAAGTAAGAATAATTTTATGTAATCTGAACATTAGATATAAAAGGTTGTTACCTTTTTTTATCAGTAATTTTTGGTCGTGAGTTTTTTTCTTTTACTTGTGTTTTGCCAGGATCACGAACTCAGCTTGCATACGGCCCCAATCCCTGTTTGATCCATTCTGTCTAAGATCTAATCCACAACATTGGGTAGGCAGACCGGAGATCAGTACAGTTACCCTGGTAACCAGGTGTTGAAGCGAGTTGGGAAAGGCGAGGCTGGTAATCATCTAACCAAGGGGTTGGGCGTCACACTTGGAGCAGCAAGGAGGCGACCGGAGGAGCGACGTCACCGTTAACGCCCGTGACCAAAGGATTCGACCCTGGACCAAGTGCCGTCACACATAGTTAGATAAAAACAATAACAAAAAAAATAGCGAAAAAAAAATTGTAATATGAGCTCTGGTAAAAATGGTACCAAGACATTAGGGTTATAAGTCCCAAAAATTCATTCACATGGTTCAATGGATAAGTGTTGTGACTTGACCTAAAAAGTTGAGTTCGATACCTGCCACAGCAGAGGTGAAAAAAAAAAAAAAAAATTGAAGATTAAAACAGATGATGATTTGACTGAAAATGTCAAGGTGAATTCTAGCTGTAAAGGTCTGAACTGGTGGAACTAGAGAATGGTGCTTCTTATACTGTACCTATGGACTATAATGGGTAGGCCTCAATCTGTATAAATACAGTAGAATATACTCTATGTGGTAGCCATTTGTATTCACTATGGGTTTTTACTTGTGATTCGCCTTGATTAACTTCTCGCTCACCACTAGCAGTTGATTACTTACTACACGCCGTTGGCGAATCTTGTATGTTGTTTCTGTTATAAATATTATTGTTCTATTTCCAACCTTAGTTTTGGTTGTTCTTATTCAGTAACCTTTCCCTGGGTTACAACAGTGCTCATCTGTTAGAGGTAACGCAACAACTCAACTGATAATAGCAGGTAGGAACAAAGAACCGTGAGGAGGTTAACCAAAAAAAAAAAACCCGGTGTCGCACGTCCAACCTTCTCACGAGCCAAAAGCCCTCTCATCCGAAACAGCAAAACGCACCTGCTTTATACAGCCGAGGATCGACCATGATT